TCCTTTTACAAAATGACAAGGATCCCCTTTATATAAGGGGGAAAATCCCATCATAGTACATGAGTAATTATTACAAAGAAACATAGCTGTAACAGCTACTTACTAGTCTGGTACAGACTAGTGTTTCCCTTGCAGGCTTTGTCAGTTCGTGTTGTTATATTGAGATTTTATACATCTTGTGTTGAGCCGTGGGCTATTTTTTATGAAATTATTGATATCGTGGAATCTTTGGAAAGGTTGTGGCCTACGGGCACTTATGATACAAGTTGATTATGTTGTGTTGTTGTGATGATAGTACATGTGAATTGTTGTGTGGTTGGGTTGTTGTTGTACGGAATATAAGGGTGGCATTTCACTGTTGTTGTCATACGGGGCATAAGGGTTGCATCTCACTGTTTGAATGTACGGAGCGATACGGGTGGCTATTGTGTTATTGTTCGGGCGGAGTGATAAGAGTGGCTATTGAACGGAGTGATGAGGATCGCTATTACACGGAGTGATACGGGTGGCTATTATACGGAGTGATACGGGTGGCTATATCTTAGTAGAGATAAGGGTGGCTAATGATATTGTCAGGGCGGAGTGATACGGGTGGCTATCGGAGAGATAAGGGTGGCAAATGTCAGGGTCGATGTGTGATGATTTGGAGACATTGTGTTGGTGATTTTCGTGTGATGTTGTGATTTCCTGTGTGTTTGTCAAATGCCTTGCGTGACTTGTTGTTTTTTCGATGATCTATTCGATGTCCTTGTTATTACTTATTGATTTGGCCTACAGTAATGCACTCGCACAGGCATACACTGTAACATGCCACTTATACTAGCTCACGAGTAAAAAACTTGAAATTTGTTAATCATGCCCATGTATTATGGTATTATTCATTTTCATGTTGCTATTGAGCCTGTGATTATGCCGGGCGGTTTGTGATTGTGAGCCTGTGATCATGCCGGGCGATTTGTGTTTGTCAGCCTGTGATCATGCTGGGTTGATTGTGACTGTGAGCCTGTGACTATTGTCGGGCGGATTGTGATTGTGATCTTATGATCATGTCGGATTGTGACTGTGAGCATGTGACTATTGCTGGGCGGATTGTGATTTTGGCATGTGAGTTGTCCGTGCGTTTGTGATTTTGAGAGGTGGGCACGAGGTGCCGTGAGTATATGACGGCGGGTTGAGACATGCGACTTGTGACTATAATATGATGTATCACGGAGTGATTTTGTTGTGAAACTTGTGTTAGAAAGGTTGATTAATTGGTTGTCCTTTGTGTTCTTTATTTGGTTAAATGATGTTTTCCCGGTATTCTTATTGCTTTACTGCCTATATGCACATGTTGATTTTGCGCCAATTATTGATTTCTGCTTCATTATTAGCTTTATACTGATATACTCCACAGGTTATTTTGTCTAGTGAGTGTCTTGACTTGTACCTTGTCACTACTCTACCGAGGTTAGTCTTGATACTTACTAGGTACCGACCGTGGTGTACTCATACTACACTTCTGCACATTTTTGTGCAGAGCCAGGTATTGGAGTTATCGGACCTGGCAGAGTTAGCTTGTTGATCACGAGGATTTAAGGTAGGGCTGCTTAGTCGTCGCAGTCCCTTGGAGTCTCTTCCTTACATTGTGCTGTCAGTTTGCCATTTGAACAGTATTGTATTTCAATCCTTGAGATTATTCCATGTATTTAACGAGATTTCGTGACTCTATATTACCAGTCTTGGGAAGTTATTATGATTATTGACATGTAGACTTATTCCTCTTTTGTCTCGGCACTTATATTAAACCATGTTTCAAATTATCATTATTAAAAATTGGCTTAATTGTGTTAAAAATCGGCTTACCTAATCTTAGAAACTAGGTGCCATCACAATATTCTACGGAGGAAAATTGGGGTCGTGACAAGGAGTCACCCGGAAGCAATGTATGACGGAAGGGAACGATTTGAAGCAAAAGAGGAGAAAAAAGAAGAAAATTACCCCAGGCTAGCGCCCAGGGCAACGTGTCGCGATGCCTGGGGTGCAGAAACTAGAAGCGAATTTTTTTCGGCATTTAGCCCAGCGTAGGGCCAGCGCGTCGTGCTGCCTTGGATGCTGGGGCAAAGACTTTTCCTATTTTGCTTGGTACAAGGTTTTGTTTCGTCCCTACATGACTCCAAATCGTATAAAAAGAAATCTAAACCTATTTTGGAGAAGTAGACGCCACTTTGAGAGGAAAATACAAGCACAGAACACTCGGGAGCAAGGATTCTTAGTTTTTCTTCATTATCCTTAGAATTTTCAATAATTCAAACACTTGTAAAATTGTTTAATACTATCATGAGTGGCTAAGAACAATTAGTTTTGGGGTTGTAATTTATCCATAAATATTGTTGTTTGACATTAACTTCTCCTTAATTATGATTCGTTATAACATGGTTGTTTCTTTAATTCAGTGTTTAATTGCTTGATTGTCTGACCAACGATCAAGTTCTATCAACTATCTAAATTACGCTTGGAAAAGCTATGTTTAGATTAGAGAAGAATTGGAGAGGGCATGATCTTAAATCTAAGATGGGAGGGGTGAGGGGCGAATTTGTGGCTAGGATAGGAATATACCTAATCACCATGCTTAATTTAATATCGTGATCTTAATTCATTTTTGATATATTAATTCCATAGTAATGTAGGAGTTAATCTATTTTGGACTGACGAGAAGTAATTCGGGAGAATAATACGAGTATACTTTGCTCGATTAGTTAGCAACCATAAGCAAATTGTATGAAAAGGAGAGTTAGTTAGAACACAATAGGATTGGTGAATCGATCACAATCCTGCAATGCTTATCTCTATTGAATTCTCAAACAACTATTTTCTGCTTGCTAATTTAATTAACTGTTACATTTACTGATTAGTTATAAATCACACAAATACAACCTTGATTGACTTGGCTGAATAACAATTTGAGTGAAATTGATAGGTAGTTAAATACAAGTTTCTGTGGGTTTAAAACTCTACTTATTATTATATTACTTATTGATCATGCATACTTGCATGTACATTTGGGAGCCACAGGTAAAATTTAGAAAATTTAAATCCTGATTTCTCCTCAGCTTCTTTACTACCATGAATAATTTAATTTTCATCATCTGCATTTTTCAACCAACGCTTTCGTGCATGTTTACTTACTTGCTGAGACATTTTAGTATATGTTTTCTAGTTGTTGAAATTCTTTGAATTAAGAACCTTTTGGAAGTAAGAAGAGGTGTGAATTACATGGGGTTAATTTCACCGATGGTCATTCAATTATCGTTCAATTTCACTAAAGTCACTTAATTTTGTCACTTAAAAGTAACTAAACTTAATCATTGTCACTTAAAAGTCACTCAACTATTTTATGACATGGCATAAACTTTAGTGAGAAAAATCCTAAAATAAATGCCACACATAAGCTTAAATAGATCATACCCACTTTAGATCCATTTCTTGCTTAATGTGATTTGACCCATAACCCAAATGGGTTTCAATAGAGGAAAACACACACCCCTAATAAAATTAGGTCGTATGATTTTTTTGTGGGGTTTTTATTTCAAATACAATCTTTCTTTTGTCTAAACAATTGCAATAGGTTGTCCGTAATTGCATGTTCATTGTGAAAATAGACTCTTGTTATTATTCTTGTATGCTTATGATACATTAATATGTTATGTGAGACGAATATAATACTATTTTAATTTTACTAGAAAATTATAAATATGTTACGTAAATTGGGTACAGTAGTTTTTTAACATCAGTAGAGTTATAAAACGACTCGCATGGGGCATACAAACAAGATAAGAATTTTTTTAGTATAGAACAATTATAAATGGGCATTATGTAACAGAAAAGGCAAGAATTTTGTAGTATAGGACAATCATTTTAAACTAATGTGAAATTTAATTTTTTTTTTATCGAAAGCATTTGGGTTATGGATCAAATCACATTAAGGAAGAAATGGATCTAAAGTGGGTATGATCCATTTAAGCTTATGTGACATTTATTTTTGGATTTTTCTCATTAAAGTTTATGCCATGTCATATTTATTGTGGGGTTTTGAGCCAAAATGACTTTTAAGTGATAATGATAAAGTTTAGTTACTTTTAAGTGACAAAAAATAGTTGAGTGACTTTAGTGAAATTAAAAGATAGTTGAATGATCATCAGTGAAATTAATCCGAATTACATGACTTCCCTTAACTTAGAGAAAATAGGCCTTCGTGGCTTTTTACAATATTAAAAGTAGGAAAATGTCTTTTTTAAATCTATTATGTCTAAAAATAAATCTCTTATGTGTAAAAAAAAGAAGAAGAAATAAGGTCATAAAACTAAAAAAAAATTGTAATGGATCACAAAACCATTTGACTCCTTACCTTATTCTAGTGCACGCATCGTGACTGAAGCATCAGTTCAAAGCTTCAAATATTTTTCTTGAACTTTGAACTAGCACAGTTTAAAACTCAAGAAAAGTTTGGTATAGTGTAAGAAAAATATGTTAAGAGTTTAGGAAAAAGATAGTTGTATCGATTCAAACTACAAGAAAAAAAATGCTTGAGCTTAGTAAAAATGTTATAGTTCAAGAAAAATATTCTGAAGTTTGAACTATACTAGTGGCAAATGGGTAGGTTGGATCGAATATGGGCGGGTTGAAAATGGGTTGACCAAAAACGGATCGGATTCCACCTGTCCATATTAATATGCGTAAAATGCGGGTTGGGTAAAATATGGGTTGGGCAAAAAGTGGGCACAACTCATTTTACATGGCACAAGGAGTTGGTGGCATAAGAGTAGGAGCTAAGGCTCCAAGACTAGCTGTTGTTTTTCGCGTAGTAACAAGATTAGGAGCACAAGGTATTAATATATTTGTGTAAAATAAAGTTTAAGCATAACACAATACAAGCAATCGTTTATAAATTCATTAAAACTACTCCAAAGCGGCTGCTCTGCCATTTCTCAAGCTATTGACTTCCCAACAACAACCACTTCTTCCACCATTTTCATATTATTCAATAAAAAATAACTCAATAGTATTGCAGATGAAGTCATAAAATAGATACATAATATTGCAAAATAGAAATAGTAGATACATAATGTTGCAGAAACATAATAAACCACAAAGACTAGGCAACAAATGCAACTTTCCCAAGCATAACAACAAAATCCAGAACATCCTTCAATAATTTTTTCTTGCTTACTCCATAACAAATCTGCATCTCAAGAAAAACAATCATCAGTGCTAATACTTGATGATGCTCTCTTAACAGAGCAGCAATATTGTAATCAAATAAAAAACTAATAGGTCTACTGCAATTTCATCAATACCCCCTCAATTCCAAATAGACAGAAAGTGTATAATATAAGCTAGCCATAACAATTTACACAACTTTACCTATCAATGCGAATCAAGTTTATCAAGATACAGCTGAAGGTCTACCGCAATTTCATCCTCCTCAGTATCTGATCCATTTTAATCTTACTAAAACAAACAAGAAAATGTAAAATTAATTTATTGAAATACTATTATAAAAGAACAAAACAAAACAAAAAAATAACATACATAAAATGATTTACCTTCTTGCCCGCAAAGCCAATCTCTAATACATAACTTTGCCTCCGCATTTGCAGGTAAAATAGAACTTTGAAACTTCCCAATAATGCGACCTCCCATGCAAAGGTAGATTCTGAGGCTACGGTGGTAATAGGTAAACTCAAGACATCTCGTGCCATCAATAAGAGTTCTGGGAACCTTAGTCTACTTTCCTTCCAAAAAAACAAGTACATCCAAATTTGGATTTACTTTACGGTCAAGATTAGGCTCCTCCAAGTACAAATGTAATTGTGTTTTATCTCTACCAGACTCCAACTGGTTTTCAAATACGTCAAACTCCTCAAGCCCATCTCTTGCTTCATTGATATTTCTACCATAAACATGCTCCCCCGATAAGGAAATTGAGGTCGAAGGCACAAGGTATTCGTTGAACAATAATTGCAAATGATCTTCAACAACTTTTACCTTTGCATCAGTAGTCACATGATCAAGTGATAAGATCTTACTGTAAGACCTCCAATATTTTTTAAACTTTCTTAACATTAATGTAGCCATATCATTCATAATTGGTTCACTACCATCTCTTTCTTCCTCTAACAACATTTGAAATTTTCACACATTAGGTAGATACAAATTAGCAGTTGGGTATTTGCTTCTAGAAAACAATGTAGTGGTGTCATAAAATGGCTTGAAAAACTTAGCAATAGTCTCTAACTTTTTCTATTCCTCATCAGAGAGGCCATATTTAAAATCAGTATCAACTAACTTGGCGATATTTCTTAAAATAGTTTTCACCTTTGGATTTAAATGCAAGTGGATATCCCTGTTTCCTTGATGCTCGGCAAAGCTGAAAGGATAACTATGCTTCAGAATTGTCACGGACAATTTCTCACGATAAATTGCTTGATCAATTGGCTCACTCATACGCTCTTGTCTATTATCTATGTGTGTATCAATATGTCGCTTCAAATTTGAAGTTCCATACCTAGAGTTGCCACATAGATCATCTTATAGACTTTATATTGCGCTTTGCCTCTTTCACCATTGCTAGCAAGAGGTAATTTTTAAAAAGTATTCCAACTAACAAAAGTATTTTTTTTAACTCGTTTTATTGGGACTGAAGAACTAATCTCTAAATCATCAATCGCCTCCTCATTAATCTCTATAGACATCTCTGCCTAACATAGAAAGTTTCAAATACAACCCTAGCATATTTAGTATTTGAACATAAAACATAATGATACAAAATATTAAGAAAACGACAAACCAAAAAGGGCTAGAAACATCTAAAGATAGAAGATTAAGCATAAATTTCTGGTTAAGGAGTACTTTTTTCTTTTTTGCAATACCTAAAATTTCAAAAAAAAACAAATGTTGAAACTATCATACATATCAAAGTAGAAAATTAGTTAAATCCCTAAATATTCAAGAAATCTAATATTCCGTAAAACCATAACTTTATAATAAAAAAATAACTTCTGCTTATTTTTAGAGTTATTCACAAACCCTAGCAGTCTAGCCCTAAAAATTCCAAAAAGAAAGGAAAAGAAGAATAAGAGGGAAGATGAGGAAGAAATGTTTTAGAGGAGGAGAAGTTACCATTGAGAAGAATGCCCGTGGAAGAAAGAGAAGAAGTTGATGCTGGAAAATTCTTCTATGTCCTAAAAGTTTGGAAAAATCGCGTATAGCTTAACCGGTATAAACAAGGATTACTTAACTTTTATACCAAACGTTCATATCTTATTTATTTTAAATAGATATTATTTTAAAAAATTATATTTTATAGCTACCTTTTGATTTTTTATAGTCAAATATCTATTTATGGTTACCTCCTACCCTTAAGTCATAAAATAAGCTTTGTATTATTTTTTTCTCTCATATCCCTTCAAATTTCTCCTATCCCTACCCCATATCTATTCTCCCTCTCTCTCTCTACTTCTCATATCTTCTCCTCCGCCGGAATATGCAACACCAAGCCCGTGATTTGATCAGTTTCAAATTCATACAAAATATATTAGTTTGTCTGCGTCTAAAAGATGAAACTCCCACTTAGACCATTTTGTATAATCCCCTACTGATGCCTGATAACTCTTGCCAAGCACGAAACATTTTTCACTGAGTGAGCCATTCTATAGGAGTCCTTTTTGCCTATCTAGAAAAATTAAGAAAACATTTTCGTCATACCTGTTTGAGCTCTCGCTTGACTAGAACATTATGTGTTAGTAGGCCTTACAAAGTAGTTCTTCTAGAATCCAGTGAACAAGGATTCCTAAGGATCAGATTGCGAATTTGTACTTCAATGTATCTCGCTGTATTCTATGTATTTCATCGTATTCATTGCCTTTTCTCATTGTATTTCAATGTATCCCGTTGTATTCTATGTATTTTATTGTATTCACTGTCTCGCTATATTCCATGAATATATTCTTATATTTTTTTAATTAATATAATTTATGTATTCAGATGTATTATATAATTTCTCTGAAGATTGCTATATTTTGGGGTATTTTTCGGTTGAGAATCTTTTTTATAACTGGAAATACAAAACTTGTGTGTTGTAATTGAGTTTATTGAGTTATATTAGGAGTCTATTATGTTAATTGATTCACTTTCCGTTTAAAAACAGTGTAATCCCCTGTTTCTCGCCGTGAATGCAGTCGAATACAATAATCTGTCAAGTTGTAATCACATGTTTCACGCCATGAATACAGTCGAATACACTCGAATACAAAATATTGTCTAGCTGTAATCCCCTGTTTCACGCCTAGAAATGCTACTGTATTCATGAATACAGTAGCTTAAATATATCGAATATACTCTAAAAATTTTGAAAACATCTATAGGAAATAATATAGTAAATTGTAGCTACAACTAGCTAATAACCACTAAAACATAGTGGTTTCTGAAAGTTTCTCTATAAACAACTCATATATTACCCAATCTTTTACCCACAAACACTCATACTTCTACGGGTAAATATGGGATGAAGCCCAAATATGACCCACTTAAAATATCACCCACCCAGTCCACCAAAATATGGGCGGACTGCCAACATATGGGCCTATTTTGCCAGCACTAAACTATACTAAGGAAAAAATATTGGAGTTTACATTCGGGGAGTTTTGAACTCTAGCACACTATCCTGGAGTTCAACTTATAAAATTCAACAACAACAACCCAGTGAAATCTCATTAGTGGGGTCTAGGGAGGGTAGTGTGTACACATACCTTACCCCTACCTCGAGGAGGTAGAGAGGTTGTTTCCGAAAGAAGACGAAAAGAGGCAATATATCAGTACCATCAATAGAAACCATGGAACAGATAACAGCATCACCAGAAATAGAAAATAGATTAAAAGCAAACAACAACCAGTAAATAAAGCCTGGCACTAAGAGGAACGAAAGAGTAATGTGACTCAACATTAACCACTAACAGTCTAAGACTAAGTCCTAACAGACTAGCCTCACTCTGGTGCGCCGTAGAAATATGCACAACAGCTTCCTACCCTACAACCTTAATGCTCGACCTCTACAACTTCCTATCTAGGGTCATATCATCGGTAATCTAAAGCCACGCATGTCCTTCCTAATCACCTCTCCCCAATACTTCTTAGGCCGCCCTCTACCTCTCCTTTTACCTACCAAAGTCAGTCGCTCACACCTCCTCAGCGGCGCATCTGAGCTTCTCCTCTGAACGTGACCGAACCGTATAAGCCTTGCTTCCCATAGCTTGTCATTCATGGAGGCCACGCCCACCTTCTCCCGAGTATCTTCATTCCTAATCTTATACATCTTAGTGTTCCCGCACATCCACCTCAATATCCTCATTTCAACTACTTTCATCTTCTGGATATGTGAGTTTTTAACTGGCCAACACTCAGCCCCATACAATATGGCCGGTCTAACTACCGCTCTATAAATTTACCTTTGAGAATCGGTGGCACTTTCTTGTCACACAGGACTCTAAACGCTAACCTCCACTTCATCCACCCCACCCCTATACGGTGTGCGACATCCTCGTTGATCTCCCCACCCCCTGTGTAACTGACCCGAGATACTTGAAACTACCCCCCTTGGGGATGACCTGTGATTCAAGCCTCACGTCCAACCCTGCTTTCATCGGCTCGACTCTAAACTTGCACTGTAGGTATTCCGTCTTAGTCCTGCTCAACTTGAAACACTTAGACTCAAGGGAATGTCTCCAAACCTCCAACCTCTCGTTGACGCTGCCTCGCGTCTCTTCAATCAGCATTATGTCATCGGTATTTACTTATAAAATTCAAACTGCAAAATAAACTTTTTATGTTTTAGTTGGTATAATTTTTTTTCAAATTTTATTTTTGTATTAAAATATGAATATTTTAAAATTATTTTAAAATCACTAACTATTTTTAAATAATAGGACTGGCCCGCACTATTTTTAGGGAAAGTTTCATAACTGAACTGTTATAAATACAATTATATTTATGGTGAATGTCTATATTTAGAGAGATTCTAGGGTTCATTGCTTGGTGGCTAAGCCACCCTCTCCCTATAAATAGAGGGTTCTATTTCATTGTAATTCATCCCAAAATTCAATAAGAATTCTCTCTCTACTTTTCTCTGCAATATTGCTCTTGTTCTTTTATTGTTTTATAACATGTTATCAGCACGAGACTCTAACCAATTGAGTAGAAGCTTTGGGATTGAGCATAATGATTGCCAATTATTCCATGAACTTCCTTCATGATTAAATTCTGGATTTAAGGTAAGTATTTTACCGTATTTTTCTCTTTTATTCTATACTTTGATTTTATATACAAGCAAAGACAACAAAGTTTGATTATAACTCTAATGGAGTTTGTAAGAAATTATAACCACCTGAAGTGGTAAAAGTTTCTATGTCTTGCCATGATCAAATTCATGTATGATTATGGGCACAAAAAGTGGAAACCCGTCCCATTGAATTTGCTCCATTCTCATTCCCTTAAGAGAATGTGATAGCAGTATGTGATAAGTCTGAAAGAAGACAAAATTATCACTATGAATGTATCAATGGATGTGGACGTGGCAATAGACGAAATTATAATCGTCATCATTGTGATAATGAGAATAATAAGGATTCCCAAAATTATCCCCCACTTGTGAAAATATTTGTCATCGATTTGACATGAGATTTTATAAAGCACATATAGATGATTATGGTCTATTCATGATGTGAATGTGACAACATCTGATTTAAGAATACATATTCATTTTTGGAAGAATATGAGCGTGCTAGTGGTATATACCACACTCACCTCTAGAAGGAGGTTTGAGATGATATAAGAAAACAACGTCATTATTATGGCATGAATGGTCATTGGTCACGTACCTATTGTACGCCAAAATATTTTGACATTGTGATTATTAAAAGACAGCGATAACGCAAGAAACAGAACTTGCGTATAATTTTGACCATAACCATAATGGTATAACTTTCTCTTTAAAAGAGATATTCACCATATGGGTGTTGATGAATATGTGGTACTACAAAATTAATTGAGAACTCTGCAAGAGCCAATTATACTATTTTGGAGAAACACAATTAATTACCAATAAGGTATTGTATTGTAGTAAGTCTCAAAGAAACTTATTCAGTTTTCAAAGTATACGCGAAAGTGGTTGATTATATTGAGACTATAAATAAAGGAAAGATTTAATATCTTCTATTATTACAACTTGTAGCGGGGTAATATGTATGTGAAAAGCTACCCGCTTTATTCTCCAATTTGTACTACATAAATAAAAGAATACCACAATGAAGTGGATATTTATTGATATAAAAACCCTTATCATAATAAACTTGGAGTTTATTCATAATTGCACACATCATGGTGTAAACCTGAAGTTTATCAATATTGATAATTTATCCAGTTGGCATACTTGGTTTAGCCATGTTAATTCATGTATGATGTGCAAAAATAATAGAGAATTCACATGGGTAAATATTAAAGAACTAGAAAGTTCTTTACGAATTCTCTTATATTGCTTGTTCTCATTAATTAATAGATCAATTAAAATTGGGATTGAACCCCATGAATGCTGGAAATATCAAAGGTGAATATGGGCCCATTCACCAGCCATGTATACCACATAAGATGCATCTATAAGATGGTTACATGTGCGATTATTATTAACCCGCAACATGGTGTTTGCGAGGTAACTTGCTCAATAATTTAATTTAGAGCATATTTTCTATTCAAGATAGTTCATCTTGACAAGTTGGTCTACATCATAACTGGTTTAGCAAAATGATTTATTGAGTGCCTCCACTTATAGCTAAACAATTACTTATGAGAACAAAGTTTTATATACCAGTTTGATATACGTTATATACGAAAGTATATTAATTTCTCCCCTCACAAGTGGTTCATGGTCAGGAACCAAATAATTCCATCTTATTATTATTGATGTACGGTGTATATTTTGATTAACACCATAACGCACAAAGATGGGTTCTCAAAGTTGAGAAAACAAGTTAGTTTTTCTAACATGAGGGGGAGACATGATAAACAGTTGAGAAAAGGTTACGTGGAATGAATTATCATTTATACATCTAGATCCTCGAATAAGATAATATGAACTTGAAGTTCATAAAAGGATAATTTAGTTGCAATATATTGCAAAGCATGCCAGACGCATTTGCT